AGAGCATTGGGCATTATTTTATTCAAAGGTAAATGACTCTGTCACCTTTGCTCTGCTTTTATGTTGTAGAAACAAAATTCAAATTAACGCTGATACATATTTTACTGTGGTTTTTAACACGTTGCTGGTAGTATTTCCTTTAAAATAGCATTGTTTTAACAAAATTTTTGGTCATTCTTATTCTCTTCGTGTTTCCATTCAAACAATTTGGTATAATTTCCATTTATCTTTTTCGTATTTATTCATAGATCCATTGACCCAGCAATATTTTTTGAGGACTATACTATATGCTATACCCATAGGATTCAGAGATCATATTTCAAGAATATATTTGTGGAATGTAAATTTTATTAGATTCCTTTACAGAAACATAATTCTTATATAAAATTGTCAAAATAAAAATTTTCCTCTCATAGAAGATAATATAAAATGAATTTCTGATCACTTCACAATCTGAAAAACTCAACATAGGCTTGAATACTCAAAATGTCTGCTTTGTGCTACCTTGATATTTGTAAAGTAAACATAACCAAGGTTAGAGTTATTTAACTACATTTATGAATGTCTTAGAAAAGACATAGAATTTATCCATAAATATATGTTCATATTTTAATTTCCAGCACATGTGAATATATTTCAACATGAATCAAAAAAGTCATTTTATTGATTTTTCCTCCCTGAAAAATAAAGTTATGGATTTATTAATGCTCAAATGAGCATATTCATATTTAACACTCTAAAGAAACCATTTGAGGGATTTAAAATTCAGATTTTATAATGGAGAAAATAAAGCTACCATAAATGAACATAGCTTTTTAAAATTAACATAGCTTTTTCTTGTGATTCTTCAGTTATCTCTTTTCCAGCTTTTGTCTTTAATTAGAAAATTCCTTGAAAAAAGCATTCTTAATGTTTCTTTGAAACATTAATGTTTCAAAATAAACTATGATCAGAAATAAGATTTATTAATTAGTTTTTAGGCTTCAACATAAATCACAACTATGAGACAAATTATATAATTGCATACAAAAGTTTTTAAATTCCTTCTGTGCTAATTAGAATTGTACAGAAAATTTTGGAGTAAAATTTTTCAGTGGATTGTTACTGAATACTGAACTCCAAACTGAATACCAACAGGATCCAATGGTCATTTCAGATGACTCATTTTTTTTTTAAATCTAACTTAGTGTAAACTGTTAGTTCTAGAATTAAGACTTGATTCTTTTAAGAATCAAAATACAAGAACATTTAATTTCTTCATACCCAAATAATCAATGTTTCACTCTTCAGGGAGCCTTTAAAAATGCAATAGAACAGAAAATATTAACTTTTACATCTTATTAGATGATTAAAGTGCATATATCACATAATTATAAATTCACAACTTAGGGTAGATGAAAGAAAATTGTTTTTCTATTTAATTATTAATGATAATTTATAAAAATTCCAAGACAGGTCAATATTTTATTTGAAAATAGATTAAAATTTTCAACAGTTAAGTTTAGAATGAAATATGGCTCCAGAATCTTGACTATATCTGTGAGAAGATGCTGAGCATGTTTTAGAAACATAACATTTTAGAGCTAAATGCTGTGAAAATCAAAATGTATCCAAGCACCAAATTGTAGTATACTATGAAAAGGGCAAGCAGGAATCTGACTAACTGAATCCTGTGCAGTATGTGCAATAGTGAAAGAGTAGATATTTTAATCTGAATTTACAGATCTATCTAAAGTAACACCATTTCATCTACTCTTTGGTTATCTCTATACTAGATGTCATAAGGGCCTCTGTTTTCAACACTTTTAATGTCAATTACTCTTAAATGTGTGCTACTACCTGGCCTTTCCACTAAGTCACAAACTCGATTTCCAGGTACCTTCTTGTCTTCGTTCCTTTGGTGGGTAGACAGGTATCTCAGACCAACAGAGACATTTCAATGTCTCAATCCTTTCATCCCAATGTTTTTCTCCTAACTCCTTTACCTCCAGAAATGATACTGATTGTTCAATTATTTAGGTGAAGAACCTAGAAATTACCATTGATTTCTCCCTCTCCTCTATAACGTAAAGCCATAAAAACTTGTTATGATTACATGTAGACTGTGTGCTCGAATCTTCACTTTGTTTCATCTCCACCACCTCTCTGCCCTGTCTGACTCCAGTCCTTTAACAGCCTCCCAACTATCTCACTTGCTTCCACTTTGGAAGTTGATTTTTCGCACAGAAGACAGAATGACCTTTGTGAATCCACATCACATCACAGCACTTTCCTATTGAAAACCTGCCAAGGCCTTTCCATTGTACTCAGAACACAGGCTGAATTCTGCGATGTGGCCTAGGGGACCCCACCAAATCTGGTCTTTGTGTACCTGCTTGACCTCTTCTACAACTTAATCACTGGCTACAGTGCTTTTTTCCTGCTTTTGAACAATCTACCTTCATTCCTAAATTACTGCCTTTCCACAACTATCTCATCTATCTACAACACATTGTTCTGAGTAGCATCATACAGCTAAAACGTCTCCCTGCTCAAGTCTGAGTTGAAGTTCTCCAGTCATAACTGAGCCCTTTCCTGACATACACACTAAATTCCCTACTACTGTGTACTACCATATACAGTAAGTTCTCTTACTACTCAGGAGTCTTTATCACATCCTTGTATTTCTTCGTAGCATTTCTAAATGTGAGAATTATCAAGGCTATTGATTTGTTTTCTGCTTAGCTTTTTTCTTTTTCAACACAATGTGAGTGCAATGGAAATAGGAGTTGGTGATCATTTCCATATCTTCATTTTCAAGCCCATGTCACAGGGTCTATGTTTCAAAATAATTTTTGAATATATTCATGAGGATTAGGCTAGGCTTGGTACAGAAATCTTAAAGAAGCAGACATTAAATAGCTGCCTCATATTTGCACTGTCGCTGCAGGCATTTAGAGAAAGCTAGGTAGGCCATCAAATCTAGAATGAATGTGCAGTACTAATAAATGTCACTCTTAAATTATATAATTACACAAATATAAAGTAATCTGTTTATAAAATAGCTACCATTGAGCTTAGCCAAAAGGCTAAGAAGCAATTATAAAACATCTATAGCTCATGATATCTATCATAAAATCAAAAATAGAAATTATTTGGAATCCTACTACAATATTTTTAAAGCCTATACAAGTACAGCGATTTAAACGAAGAAAAATAATAAAAGTATTGCTATACATTGTGCTCTATTTTGCATGCAGCTTTTCAAATAGAAGGCAAATGAAGTAAAAATATTTTTCCATTTATCTGCAGTCTTATAAATTTGGCATCTAACCTTCACTAATTTAACTAATTTAAGGTTCCCTATATTTAATCTGCAAACTTAGATTTTCCAATAAGTTCTGCATTTTTAGAATGGAAAAAATTTAAAACAAAAATACCCATATATGTACACAAAGGGGGCTATCTGATCATAAAATTAGTTTTTAATGTCATCTCCAAAACTCTTTTTTAAACTGTTAGATGAAAACTAAACATTTTCTCTCCCCTAGAAGGTAATTTTTCCAAGGCCATGCCATAGCCTTTGGTTTCTCTACCACATTTTTTCTACCATATATATATATATATATATATATATATGCAATTCTAATTAGCAGGAGAATGTTATGAGTGTGTGGATTTTTTTTCATTAGTGGTCCCTATGCTTTAGCAGGTGAAGTTCTTCATTTTGCTTTCTTCATACTTTATTGAATTTACGTCCCGTTGAGAGTCATTATACTTTTTGTGGCTGTAAAATAGCATCCCTTTGATGGATCACTTTGTAAATTAGTAAGAAACATTTAGCAAAGTCTTGGCTTTATTATAGTGAATAAAACTCTACAAACATTTTGCGATACAAATAAAACATACATAAAATTTGTAACAAAATAAAATTAAAAGTATGTGTTCTTTTCATGGTCGCCAATTACAGAAAGCTTATTCACAGTAAAGCTTAATTTCTGAAATAATTTTCAAGTAAAACTGTAAATTTTAAAATAAAGTTTATAATCTTATTATTGTCCTAAAATTGGGGCCATTTTATGGAATCAATTTATGCTACGATAATAAAGTCTAATCGACAAGTTTGAAATGTGTGTGTGTGTGTGTGTGTGTGTGAATCTGATTCTTGCATAAGTCCTTCTAAAAGCCAGTAAAGCACAATTATGAGCTTCATTAATATGACCCAGTTAGAAGTAGGGTAACTGAAATTTGATTTTTCATCCTTATTCATTTTTCTTTGTAATATTTATTTAAAGAAATAAAACATTGTTTCCAACTTACCTATAGTTGATATGTAATATCTGCCAAAAATGGGCAAGGGTGTATTGACATATGGCAAGTAGGTACTCTGAGTTATGAGGCTTACAATTTACTTACACTTTATGGTCCCTCTGAACAATTTCATAAAAAGACATCAAAAAAGAGAGTAAAACAGCAGGGAAATAATATTACACTGTAAGTTAAATTTTTATCCCAGTGGTAGTTTGTCAATAGTTCACAACATCTGCTTGACAGTACCTAAATAGGCGCTTAAGAAATACAATGCATGAATAAACTGAAATTATTTGAAAATAGTCATAAATAACTATGACTAAACGGTAAAATGTGAACTTTGACTGTCCAAAAACACATAGCCTTCTAAACTTTATTTTTCCCACATAAATAAAATTATAAGAAAATGTATTGCAAGGTCGCAGATTCACTGTGCACACACAGCTCTATGGGCTTGGTAAGTTCATGGAGAAAATGTGTGCTACTACTGCACAACATATGTTCATAAGAACTTCACGTTATTTGAATAATTACATGAAAATTTATTTTAAATACTATTTAGAATGCATCCTAAAAGCATTCTCTGTTGCATTTACTTGTGAGCTTGCATCCGCACACAGACTTCATCAACAGTCCAGGCCACATCAGAGGAGAAAGGCGGAGCACGGAGCATTAGTGAGCTGCTTCCCTCATGGGACATGAGTACTAACCTGTCCCCTTTGAAGAAGTAGGTTTTCCCAACATCTTCCCACCAAATGGCCGAGTCAATACCATGAGGAGGGATTCCGCTTCCAAGAGTAATCAAGTCATGAGGGTAACCAGGTTGCAAAGTTGTGTCCTTGAACACCCAGAATTTGTTGCCTGTAGGAAATAAATGCAAAGCAATAAGAAACTAATTTAGTTCAGGATTACAGTATATCCATTAACACAATGCATGCAAATTATTTGCATAAATTCCTTGAAATATGTTAGTAGTAGTCATTTGTAAAAAATGATGTTACTTTTGAAATATTAATGTTATTTTTAAAAGGAGGCACAATGAGTGACTACTTAACATATAGTTAAAATATATGAGTTAATTGCAAAAATAAAATAGATCTACAACTTAAGCCATAAAGAAACAACTCTAAATCAAAGATCATGGATTCCTCCCCTGGGAATCATTAGCTATATTTTTGATCAAGCATTGATTATTTCTATGTTTTGTGAATTCTATGTGCCCTCAAAATTCTTTACTGATTATTAAAATACGTTTTTGGGATGAATATATCCAAGTCTTTCTAGTTATATAATCAACCATCTTCCTTTGACCAAATGTCTTCTTCAGGCTATAAAACTAGCCCTCTCCTTAGCAGTGATAACCAGAAGGAGGAAATTTTTCATCCTATCCTTGTTCAAAATTGCCAGAGCATGATAATACTAAAAAGTAGGCAGACTTCAGTCAGTTGATTGCTGTTTGGAAATTTTCTACAAACAACATGCTCCACATGCCCTACTGCCCTGGCATACTGAGCCTGACATTTGTTCTTAGTATATGCATTCAATAGTCTCATTTCTCATCCCACTGAAAGCTGATTTCATACCTAATAGCCACTGAAATTCTTTGTCTTAGAGTTGTCAACATCCTCCATCTAGACAACTATTCTCCATCCTTATCTCTCGACACATCTAAACATAAAGTACTTTTCTTCCTAAGCAGTGAGGAACCATTTTCTTTTGGTTCCTCTCTTTCTTCTTTAGCTGCTCCTTTCTGAGATCTTTTATTGTACATAGCCCTTGAATGTTAATATTTTCCAGGACTCAAGTCCCTGTTCTCTTCCCTTATTCTCAATCAAGAAAGATTGCAAACTCAAATACTAAAAGGGTCACATCAGAGATGATAAGGGTAGAGGCTCTTCAGGACTTCCAGAAGCTTTAGGAAGTCAGCAGATTTCCACAACTCAGAGGCCTATCTCTTTTATTCTCATTTGAAAGGCAGTATAAAGTTTACTTAAATATGTCCTCCTGGATCTTTTCATGATCTGATAACCTCTTGGATAACCAACCCTCCTGGGGTAATATATGGGAAAGTAAGAGCTCCTCTATCTATTCACTGATGTGAAGTCATGCATGCTTTTTAACATTTTAATATCACACCTTGATGAAGATTATGATAAACTGGAGCATTCTTGCCATACCTAAAGGGATTTGAGAAATTAAAATAATGTACTGCCCTAAAATAACACAAAACGAACATATAACAAAGAATATCTTTAGTCTGATTTAATTAGGACTCTTCAGTTTATAACAATGGACAATCCGAATGATTGCAAAATATTCTACTACTATTTAATGTCATTTAAATTGAAACATCTCAGTATGCCAAGTATAATATTAGATGCTAAGGATAGCAAAGAAAACAAGACAGTCCTCAAAACTACCATAGTGATCATATGTGCTAGTAGAAGATGGAGATGAAAACCAAATGTACACATATGTAATTGTAGTACTTGAAAAACTAATGAATGCTAAGAAGAAATATCCAAGACTAAGATTAAAACTTAAGAGGAACTTCCTTTAATGTGAGGGAAAATCTCTCTAAAGAAATCACATACCAGCTGGGGATTTAGCTCAGCGGTTCGGTGGCCTACCTTGCAAGTGCAAGGACCCAAGTTCAATCCCTGATACCAAAAAAAAAAAAAAAAAAAGAAAAAAAAAAAAAAAAAAAAAAACAAAAAA